ACCTACAGCACTGAGAAGGGATGGACCAAGGAGCACCGCAGCAGATAAGAGCAGGGGAAGAAAATAAAGTAGCAGATCAGACAGGGAGCATAGTGCAGGTAGCAGAGCAGCAGGTTGGGCAGGGGAAGGGGACTAGAGGGGCACCTGGGAAGGGTGCTGGGCTAATCTGTGGCATGCAACAGTTGTCCCCCTACCCCCAACTGTTGTAATGCTTCAGAAAAATTAGTTTTCATATTATTCAGGCATTTCAATTATGTAAAACTAGCTCAGGGAAAATATCCCCATTTTATCTGTCAAGACAAGGTTTGGGGCACCTGCGATTTCTGTGTGATCTGTTTCTGGTAGAGAAGGGGCACAGGTTTAGAGACAAGTGCTTGACCAAGTATTATCCACCTTGTAATGAGGTATGCTGACCTTTTCTGTATTAGTTGGCTCTTGCTCTGTGAACTTTGAAAAGTCCACGTGGTTTTGGGTTTGATGCAGATAAAAAAACATTTGAGAGTAAAGTTGAGGAGAACGAATAAGAGAGTAGAATGTGAGCAGTTCTAACCACCGAGGATTAGCTTTTTCATGGATGCCCACAGTTCAGGTGAGTTTGAAAGGAGAAATTAGCTGATCTTTCTTTAAATCAGATACTTTTGGTGCACTGAATGAGTACAGCTGAGAGCAACTTCTGCTGAATAAATCTGCCTTGTTACACATGGGAACAAATACCTCTATCCTGATTTTTTTATAAGCAGATTTTAGCAATGTCACCACATGAAACTGGCTTGTAATGTTATTGAATTCATACCAAATACCAAGCAGGTCACAGGGACCCAAACATCGTATTAGCATAGAATAGCATTACATCTTGGAATAATAGTCTTTCTATTTTAACTCATAATTGCTCCGAAGTATTTGAGAAGCAAACAAGCTTGCATACTTTAGCAGTCGGTGCTTTAGAATATACCACACTGTCCCAGGACTTAGAGGAGGAATGGTGATACTTTAATGGAGAGCATAAAGGCCAAATGAAATAATCAAATTTCCTACCATGTCATGAAAAAATTCACCTTTAACGATTCATGCTGGGAGCAGGGCAGGGATATTACAGTGATATAGATTTAAATGGCAAATGTAACTTTTTCCCTGTCTTACTTTGTATATTGTTCCCCATAAGGTATTCTAATGGGTAATTGTCTGCAATGGGCTTGCCTCAAAAACTTATTCTATTTTCTTCTACTATTAGTTAACTCTACAAAGTATTTTGGAATGACATGCAAAAGATGCCATGCAAAATAAATCTATATTTACATGGCTTAAAACCAGTTATGCACAGCTGTTTTTCAGAATATATACCTAAAAACATCAAAATCCATACGTATTGTTGTCAGGAACCTTTTCTCCCATTTTTGTGTTTTCTCCTCGTTTTCATCACTGGAGCTTGCAAATAAGTTGGTGAAAGCTCAGATTTTTTTTTTCCTAAGACAGGCAATAATGCAGTATCTGAGCACTCTAATAAGTGGAAGTTGTCAGTTAAGATACCCACAAATATTTTTCTGTTCAACTTAAAATGAAAAGCTAACCATCCTTCTTGTTCCCATTAATTTTCTTTTTCATATTTAGGGCAGGAGAAGATTGGGATGAAAAGCCTGAAACTTATGAACTCAGCTTCTATAAACGGAGCTTGGATAATGACAACTATATCTTCACCGCTCCATACTACAACAGTAAGTCCTCATTACTTTGAAACTACAACGCTGTCTGCAAAGCATAAATATGATCTTGGATGCTTGCTTTCTACCATTTGAGATCACTGCTTTGGCATAGTTTGCAATATTGCTGTTCCAGTACAGTCTGGCAGTTCACTGGGGCAGCAGCTCTGAGAAAAATGATGCTCAGTTATGGAAATAGCCTCTTATCAGTGAAAATAATCTTTTGCTGCTGATCCCAGTATATGATCTGTGCTCTGTATATATTTGAATCTATGGCTAATGGGCAAAGACGTGCAGATAGCTTTAAATGTAAAGAATTCAAATCTTTCTCAAATGCATATTTTTTGTTGAAGGCAATCATAGGCATGCACTTTCCTCATATATCAGTTTCACAGTTACAGAGGTGCTCTCATAGCAGTCTTGTCTAGCTGAGTCGCTAGAACTCATCAGCATTGAATCTAGTCTCAAGGACAGCTGGTATAAAAGATCCACAAAAACAATCTACTGCTTCATTTAACAATATAATGTATGCATTTTCATTATTTTACAAATCAACATTATTCTCCAGAAATGGTTGTGACCTTCTGTACTACTTAAAACCTAATAAAATGCCCAATAATAACCTGATTAGAGAGAAGAGCTCATTACTGGATGCTGAGGAGTGTTAACCTTGTAAAACTCCTCTAAAGCAGAGGCTGTAGTGACTGAAATACTCTCCTTCTTAGATGTAGGAAATATTATGTTGTGATTATTTCAAATATATTTATTAGCCTGATTGCAAAAGTTCTGGGTTTACCTTTTAAATAATAGCTTATTTCAAGTTTGAGGATGGACTGGGAGAGGATGGCTATTTTTTTTTCTTTTCTTTTGTGAATGGAAGAAGATTGCATTACTCTTAACTCTCTTTTTCCTGTACCCCCAGAGACTGGTTTCAATACCTACGAAACAGGTATTATGGTAAGCAAGGCGGTGGAAATAACCATTAATGGAAAACTTCTCAAACCTGCAGGTAAGGTGGAACGCTTCAGACACTAAATACAAACGTTCTTTTGTTATTGCCCTTCGTTAAGGTCATTGAGAAATCTAATTGCAATCACAAAGCAGCTTCTGTTTATCAAACATTCTTTTCCACAAGACTTTTAATTTTGTTGGTAGAAACCAAGCCAAAGATCTAGCAGTGTCTGAGTAAAAATATCTAGGTTATTAATCTGAGAACGGGTCTTAGAGGGCAGGTGAATGATCAAAAATAAGATTTCTTCTTTTCATTTCCTAGATTACTTTTTATTGTGATGGTTTTCCTTTGCTGTTTGTTCCTTCATTTTTCTTACATTTTACTAAATAGCCTTTCTTGTATATCCTGTTAGTTGTTGGAGTAAAAATTGATACAACCAGTTGGATGGAAAATTTTACAAAAACCACAATCAAGAGCCTGGTAAGGAATTGGTTGTCTTCTATTGAACTTAACTTACATTTTTCAAAAGTATCTAGGGCACATCCCTAAGCTGACATAGTGTTACTATATTTTAATTTTATATTTGGTAAATGGTTGCCAACTGGCACACATTTAAATAATTCAAAACACACAAAATAAATCTATATAAAAGGAGAAAGCATTTTTTCAATTATTTGCTTGGGAGTTAGAACAGAATAAACCATGGAAAATGACATGAGAGACCTTCTGTCAAACAACAGAATGTAACAACAAATCAAGTCTCCCAAGAAAAGCTGGTTGGGAGACTCCTTATGATTGCAAACCAACTTTTGTTTAGCAGGGAAAAAAGGTAGGCAGGTACAATTAAGGGTTTATACTGAAACTGAGAAGTCAGGTGGTAAGCATGTTGTTAACTAGATTCCCATAGTTCATTTGTAGATATGAAAGGGGTGAGGAGAAAGTGTAAAAGGTAGGCATGGATGGAGTAATTGAATGAGTCAGCGATGACTGCTACATTTGGGAAGCTCAGATCTTTACCTGGCCTTTATTGCACTTTTGGCAAGCAGAGTGCAGAGAAGCAACTGCTTTGGCCTAGATCATCAGCACATAAACAAAGCAAGCTGGGTATATGAAAGACAAATTAGACCTGTAGAAATTCAGTGGGTGCAAGAGAATATGTGGAACTGTCTGGACCATTATAACAGAAAGAAAAAAAAAATGGGGGGAGGGAGAGAATAAAGGGGCATGCTTAGGGAAAAAAGCCACTAAGCTGTTTAAAATGTGCAGTCCTACTTGATCAGTTAGTTTCACTTTTCAGTAAAACTCCGTGCGCAAATATTGCTACAAAAGGACAATAGGGAGTGTTCCTATGTACAAAACATAAGCACTTTATCTTACAACCATAGTGTTGAAAGGGGCTTCAGGGGTCATCTATTTCAACCCCTTGCATAGATATAGGGTGTACTATTCCTAAACTTCCCCAGACAGTCTCATAACTCAGACGTCATGAAAACCAAACCAGACAGAAAGGCTGTTGGGTGTTTTGCTATTACTATTGACTACATAAGGAAGGAGCTCTACTATTATCATGATGGGTGGCAGTATAATACCTGAAGATAAATTAATGGCATATATGGACATAAGAACACTTGGCTTCATCTTGAATTCAGTGCAAGCATTTGTACGCTTAAGACAGTGAACATCACCACATAGTACCGAAGCAGTTTCCTAAACACATTTATATTTCTTTCTTTTCAGTGCAACAGTGAACTCTGCGGCTGTGAAAGAAACAGTATGGTAAGAATGCACTTTTAATTAAATACCTAGCAGATTAAGCAAAAAGGACTCTTTTTCTTTCTTCGGGTCTATCAAAAAATAAGGCCACTGGTTACTTCCTGAAGGGCATGCACAGAAGCAACCTTTCCAGAGTTATCTACCTTGCCTCTTTTGGAAGAAATGGTAGATGATTCTGATAGAAAGAGGAGGAGTAAGGGGAGAGATTAATGAAATAATAGGTAATGGAGTCATCAAAAACTAGAGGATATATAAGAGCTACGGAGAAACAAAGAACAGGATAAAACATTATGTGAAGCAACAAAGAATTTGATTAGGGAATACAGATCTGATATTGAATAAGAGAGAAAACAGGATAAAAAATGGATATGAGAAGGAGAAAGACAAAAGATGACAGGGAGTGTGGGGAGAGGGGAAAATGCAACCTTTTAACTAAAGAATTGTAAATTCATTGCTTACCTCATAGACCCCCTGTACATTGTTGGGGGGGAAGGGTAGAGAGGGAAGGAAAGACTACTAGATTTCCTATTTTGAGCATGTGATGGAATATTAATATTGCTTCCCTAAATCTGGATTTATATGAGGTCCTTATATGGTTTGAAGAATGGCTGTTGAGTGTAGCAATTATGTCAAGTAGGTCAGCTAATTAGCTGGCCCATCAGTACCTTCAAAATCTCAGACCACACAGGTGTCTAGAGTGTATGGGTTATAATTAATTAATTGACTTTCCACTTCCAGCACCTGACACTTGGCCAGGGTGGAACAGAGAGATTAAAATACATTGATTAAAATAAAATAATAATAGGCAGCAAGATTAGGGTCTGCTGTCTTGAGACTTAACTTTAAAAGGTGCAAATTAAAAAAGCCCCCATGGCATAAAGGCAAGAGCAGATCAAAAGTTGTGGTCACTTTATAGGGCTGTTACAAGGACATGGCACTCTTGGGACTAGTAAAGTATTCTGAGCCAATAGTCATTTACAAAACAACTTAAACTTAAAGTCATGAGCAGCCCCTTGATCTGTTCAAACTTTTATGGTACTGTTATAGATCCACTTCTATTGGCTGTGTTCCAGAGTTGTCATATAATCTGTATTACTATACAGTCTGAATACCAGGTGCCAAACCCGAAACATCTTTGCCAGGTGTTAATGGGAATAAAAGAGGGTCAAATTACTGGATCAATAGAGAATTGAATGTGTGATCCAGGAATTTGCCTAAAATCCTTAATATAAATTTTAACATGGAACTCTTAGGTTCTGATGGTTGGAAACTAATTTAAATTCATAGATTATTTATAGCCAGGCTGATTTCTTTTGAAAAGAGGGGCATGAATTTGAGTCTTTCAGCATTTTCTCAGGGCATCTGCTTGCTTGTAAAAGAACATGTTTCCATATCTTTTCTAAAATGCATATGATTTTTTTTCCCTTTTTTATAGCATGTCGACTGTGTTATTCTTGATGATGGTGGATTTCTTTTGATGTCAAATCGGGATGAATATACCCAGCAGGTAGGTATATTTTAAATACTATAGGAGAAGAGATTGTCTTGGCTGATAAGGAACAGTATTGTAGCTATCTTGTATTGCCAATAGAAAATCATACTATAAGACATTTCTTTTTTTTATATTTCCTTTATTTAAATCAAAATTATCTAATTCCACAGACTGGAAATAATATGTCCAGAACCCAAATGAAAATGTAGTTTAATGGCTTTTATCAGAGTCTTACTAATGTCTTGGCAATCCCACACATGTATTAATAAGAGTTTGGTCATAGTGATTTAGAAGAGTAACTAATAAGGCTTCTTTTTTTTTTTTAAAGAGCTGGGAGCTGGGGCTGGGCAGGGCAGCTATGGAAGGGGCTGGGAGAGCAGGCAGGATGGGGCCTGTTTGATTCGGAGATTCAGCCTATTCGGGGGTGGCCAAATCTCCGAATTAGATTTGGGTGAATCAAATCAAGGCAGTGATTCAAATCACCAAATCAAATCACTGTCCCCCAGATTGGCCGAATCCGAATCCGAAGCAGATACTAGCTGCTTCACACATGCCTAGTAACTAAGGACTAAGTTGTGGAAGATTATGTGTAGTTTTGATTAGAGATGTAACAGGAAGCCAGGCACCCAAGACATCAGGACACACATGGGGGCAGTAGTGACATCCAGCTGTCATTGTGCTGCTGGGATGGCTGCACAGCTGCAGCAGAAGCTGCTATTTTTATGCCCCCACCCCAAGTTGGTACCTTGGGCTGCTGCCCTGGCCGCCCTGCCCTAGTTACGCTACTGGTTTTGTGGTTGTCTGGAGAATTGAGAATTAAATCTTTGGTGAATAATACCACAAGTGTTTCCGCTTTTCAGTTATTAAAAACACCCATTTCATCAAAACACCATGGTTTTTTAAATAAATAAACTAAAATTGTTGAGATTTTTTTTTCTAATTTTTTTATCGGTCATGTCATAAAAGTGTCCAGAAGTGTTTTTATTGACACTTTTTTTTTTTAATACCAGATTGGAAGATTCTTTGGTGAAATTGATCCTGGCTTGATGCGAAATCTCATTAACATGTCCTTATATGCATTTAACAAATCTTACGATTATCAGTCTGTATGTGATCCTGAAGAAGAACCAAAGCAAGGAGCTGGGCTTCGTTCTGCGTATGTGGTCAGTATCCCCTGGCCAAAATATCATCATTTCTTTTATGGACATACAGATGCCATGTACTAATGGCATGTTCTTTATCGTGTTTTTCCAGCCAACAATAGCAGACATTTTGCATTTAGGATGGTGGGCCTCTGCAGCTGCCTGGTAAGTTCTAATATTCTAATAATGTATATAAAAACATATTTGGCAGTAGTCACTTTTTTCTGTGAAGGCTTCTTGGAAACTCCTTTGATAAATTAGACTTCCCAGACTTTGTAGTTCTAAACTTTCACTTTAACCTTCATGTGTAGGTGGAAGAAGTTTGTTTTGGGTTAATTATCCTAAACTGGGATTTCTGCCTGGCAGATTTCAGATCAAATTAACCTATTCATAATTATTGATTATATGTTTCCATAATACAATACAATATAGTTTTTAATTCATTCTAGCAAGCTGATGAAGAATCAATTTTCAATCCTTAGTATAGTAAATCATTTTGCTAAAAACGCATATCAGTTTCCACTGGAAAATATAAGGAAGTTTATTTAGGAACATCATGTGAGACATCAAAATACATTGATTAGTAGGGTTCAGCAGTTCTCAGTTGTTTCGTTTTGGTTTTGTGGAAGAGCCCATAAACGTAATAATACCAGTGAAAGAAAACAACCATATGTCTCACAGCACATGATAAAAACTTCCTTTTTTTATTTGGCTCCATTTCAGTACAGCTACGTTTCATTTAGGTAACATATACCTGACAGACTGCTGTAGACTGGAAAAGTAGGAGCTTTAACATGGGGGGATTTTGTCTTTGATTTTTATGGAGCCAGGATTGTACTTATTACTGTACTAAAGTGACTAGTATTTTAGCTAAATACAATAATGTATAAATCTTTAAGCAAAATCTCTACATAGCAGCATTGTCTCATTTTGATTTAGGTCCATATATAATGAGCAATAACTATAGGAATGATGTTGGTAGTTCTATGTCGCAGATAAGAATAAATTCAGCCAGTGTGTATTGGCAATGTGAGCCCCTATATGTTAGTTCACCCACATGGTAAAGGTTTAATTGGGACTTAAGCAGTATATATTGGACAGGCCCTCCACAATGATGTGAAGTGCACCCTCTGACCCTTTCCCCATTGCAAAGATTTGTGATGATTCCTCCAAGTAATAATTAGCATGGTGGGATAGGCTGTCTGGTATCTGGAGGTAAGTATTACAATATATTACAGCTGAACAGATGTGTAGCAGTTGTCTCACAGATGGCACTTTGAAGATATTGCCCATTTTTTTTTATTGGTACATTTAGCTGGCAGGAGTAGTTAAGATCTTTGTTTTCTAGAACAAAAATGAACCTCAAAAACTGAAGATGGGCAATAATCCATAGAAGAAACCTAATCTTTGCTGAGACAGAGAAATTTGGCTTATCAGTTCTCAAATCAGACTCAGTGGTCTGGACTCAATATAGAGTTGGGCCTTGTATTCCCCAATGTTACAATTGAAAGCATACCATATATCTTCTGTGAAATTTTTAAAACTGGAATCTAGGCTAGAAGAGGCAGAGAAGGCCATTAAGGAAGCAGAGTAAAAAAAAAATATCAGAATGGATTTAGCAAAGCAGCTGGTGAAAGCATAGCAGAGAAATAGGAGAAGCCAGGTTAAAGAAAACAATTGCATTTCAGGCAAAAATGTATGAAAAAGTAAGTAATAATTGTTAACATTTATGCGGGGAGCATTAGAATTTGATTAAGGAGTAAGTATCTGCTCTCCTATGCACTCTTGAAATTCATAATTTCTCCAAGCTGCTTTTCCTCATTCATCCTCAGTAAATTCTGTGTTAACCTTCTTCACATCTACAGTGCTATGTGAGACTTAATTTCTTTATCAGAAAGTTGGGTCATTAAATAACCAGATATGTCTTCATGCCAGAGGACTGTATGCTGCCCATTCAGTGATCCTTACCAACAATGTTGTAGGAATTAAATGAGCCCTCTCGTGCAAGTCCTAATCACAGGGGTGACTTGGAGATGCCTTTTCTTTGAGGATACGTCCTGGAACAGGAGAAATGAGCCAAAGGAGCACTGAGGCCAGCATTTTGGGTGGAGCAAAAAATGAGGGATTAAAAAAAAAAAGGATATTCCAAGTTCTGCCTCAGCTCCATAGGCTATGCGGATACCATGGCACACTGTTTTCTATAGCTAACAGTACATGTGACTAGTATTGTAGATTGCCACCTTTTTTTCTTAGCCCAAATAGCCAGTATCCATTCATGGCTGGATTAACTAGGGTATATCTGTGGTGGAGAGAGAGCCTCAGACTTGTGAGGCGTATTCATCAGTTTGTAACAGTTTTCCACTAAAAGAGAGTAGGTCAGATAACGTCGGCAAAAGTTAGTCCTAGAAGGTGAGAAAAAGTT